GGGGGGGTGTGTGGGGGGTGGGGGATTCATGTTGGTTATTTTTTTCTTGTATATATTTACTTTTTATATTTATTCTTTTTGCGTCTTTAAATTAAGCTCTGAACTTTACACTTTAAAATTCATTTTTCCCAAAAATTATTTTTAACATGTACTTCCAGTATAGTAATATTGTATGTAAATTTAAATTTTTTTCTATATTTTAATCACATATACTTTTTAAAAAATAAAATAAAAATCACTTTTTACAAAATCTTTTCTAAAAAATAATCATATACTCTTCAAAAAATCACTTTTTACAAAATCTATTCTGAAAAATTGAGTTCAAACTAGGCTTAAAATACCTGTTTGAGCCCCATTAAATTTGAAAAATACATTTTAAAAGAGAATGTGTTAAAAAATAAGGAAAAATTTTGAATTTGCGAATAATATTATTTTATTGAACAATATATAATTGAAAAAAAAGAGAGAAAAATGTATTTTGAGAAATAGGCACTTAACGTCTACTCTGAAAGCCGTCTAAGAGAACACTTTTACTTAAAAAGTGAAAGTTGGGAACGCAAAAAAGTTGAGAATTGTATGTAATTTACCATTTTTAGTGAGCTGCTAAGTTTTTCAAATTTTAAAGCCTAGATAAAGGATCACATTTTAGGGCTGTAAGCAAAAACTGGATAACCGAATCGAAACAACATTTTAGAAACCTTCGGTTTGGTGTCACGTGGACCCGGTCAACAAAATAATTTTAAACCAAACCAATCAAAATGGTTAGGTTTAAGTTTGAGAATTTTAATTGCGGTTTAAAACCAAACTGGACAGACAAAAAATATAAAAAAATAAAAAATGATTTTTTTTGAAAATTCATCCAAATATGTAAAATTCAATAATTTTATCATTTGTGAGTATTTTTGTTAATTTCTAATTTTCTAATACATATATATTATTATTACCTAATAGTCTTAATTTATATCTAATAATCTCAAAATTAATATAATCTATCGAAAGCTCTTTCCTCTTCAGAATTCAGATAAACTCCAGCCGACATTGGACACAGTCTTGAGCCACCGCACCATACACACTTCTTCAGATTTTTTACGCCTCTTCAAAGTTGGATTATAGTCTATTACACCAAATTGGAGACAAAGAGATTCTAGACCTTCGGTGATAATATTTGCTATAAACAAAGTTTCAAATCAATAATTTTTTTGTGCAAACTGAGGAAAGAATTTGAAATTAAATACGTTTTGTAACAACATACAAATGTAAGCTTGTGCAATTATTATGTTTAGATATTACAAACAACTGCTTTATTATTTTGGTTGGTTATTCTCTTTGTCTAATCAGTAATCTTTTTTCAGATATGATGATCACGATGTCTTGTTGGATATCATTATGTTTTTTGGACCTTATATCTCGTTTAGTAGACTTATATTGTAACGTTATCATAATGTCATTAGCCTAAAAAAGGTGAAGAAAAATGAAAAAAAAAACTATGTTTTAGTTTATTGTGATTTCATTTTGATTTAGTAGATATATTTAGCCCCTGTTTGAGCCATATTATCAATGTTATCATAATGAGAAAATTGATCTTTGGAGAGGAGGCTGGGTCCCACACATGAAATAACATGTCAACAAATGTGGTTGGACTTGTGGGATAATGGTCCAAATTTTTATTATTTTGTCCCAAAAATTTGGTTCAAACAAGGGTTTAGATTGTTTTAAATTTATTGCTAGTAAAATATAAATATATATTAAATTCAATGAATTAATGTCATAAAAGTAGACAGATAAAAAAAATATACGATGAAACTGACGGTTTAAAATAGGACCAAACTGTTAGGTTTAGATTTGAGTTTTTTTCAAGGATTTTTCTCAAACCGATTTAAACAGTTTGGTTTGAAAATTTGTCAAAAATCGGTAAAACTGAACCGCTTACATCCCTATCACATTTGGTTGTAAAACTTTATCACAAGAATAATTTACAAAATAATTATTTTGTAAATTATCACAAGAATAATTTACCAAATAATTATTTTATTTTCATAATAATCGACATTACTCGATGACGAATGAATGACCTTTTATATCTTTCCACATATATCAAAGAGAAAGACCCCTGATACACGGCCTTGTATCACAAGGGGCCAACTCGGACCCCTGTGATACAGGGCCCTCGAAAAGAAATGTCCCTGGTAATTAAATATATCTATATCAAAACATGCATGTCTAATTGAAAATATCTCATTTAATTTTTCTACGCGTCAACTTAAAATTTTCAAATTCTCAACCACATCTATATGATTCTCAGTGGGGCTTTCTTTTGGCCACCCCAACTAAATCCCAGAAACTTTGTTCCATCCATACACATGTGTGGATGAAAAAAAAAAAGGAAAAAAAAAAACGCTCTTCAAATATTTTAGTTCACTCTACTTTTTAGTTGATTTTTAGATATGACCCACTAAAGAACAATTCCAGTACTAGTCTATCAAAAAGTAATTAAAAATTTCAACAAAGAATAATAATTATGGAAAAATAAAGACCTTTCAATATGTGTGATCGATATCATTTCACATGAGGTAGTTTATCGAATAAAATAAAAAGACATCATTCTATGTATATACCGTATGGTGAGTCTTATTCAATTGCTCGACATTGATATTTCAATTTGGTTCACTTATGTCGGTCGTTCTATATGTTGTTCTCATGTCTACCAACACTTAGTTTGTGGAGCTTATTCTATGTTATCATCAACATTAATGTGTAGAATTTAAATATGTAATCGTCTCAAGTATAAATGAATTTAATCATCTTCCTATCATAACAAACAATTTACATACATATGTATCACAATTTTGAGTAAAAAAATAATAAGGAGAACCCGAATAATACATATAATTATTTTTTCATATTCATAATATATGAAGAAAAAAAAAACTTTTTCCACTTGTACAGGGGTTGAGAAACAAGAAATAGATTTTGAAATAGACATATAATTATATAGCTAGCTACTATATATTTTCTTTTATTTCTATTTTTGCCATTATATAATTTTATTAATACTTTGAAATATTATTTTTACTATTTAAAAAATCTATTCGGGGAAAATTGAGCTCAAACTAGGCTTAAAATACTTGTTTGAGTCCCATTAAATTTGAAAAATATATTTTGAATCTACAAAGAGAATGTGATTAAAAAACAAAGAAAAGTTTTTAATTTGCGTGTAATATTATTTTTTTGAGCAATGTATAGTCGAGAAAAAGAGAAAAAAATATATTTCGAGAAACAGGCACTTAACGTCTAATCTACTTTGAAAACTGTTTAAAAGAACACTTTTACATAAAAAGTGAAAGTTGGGAATGCAAAAAAGTTGAGATTTGTATGTAATTTACCATTTTTAGTGGGCTGTTAAGTTTTTCAAATTTTAAAGCCTAGATAAGGATCACATTTAGTGGTAAAATTTCATCACAAGAATAATTTACCAAAAAATAATTTTATTTTCAAAATAATCGACATTACTCAATGACGCATGAATGACCTTCTATATTTTTCCACATATATCAAAGGGAAAGGTCCCTGGTACTGGCCCCGTGATACAGGGCCCTCAAAGAGAAATGCTCCTAGTAAATGAAAATATCTATATCAAAACATACTTGTCTAATTGAAAATATCTCATTTAATTTTTCTACGCGTCAACTTAAAATTTTCAAATTCTCAACCACATCTATATGATTCTCAGTGGGCCGCTTTCTTTTGGCCACCCCAATTAAATCCCAGAAACTTTGTTCCATCCATATACGTGTGGATGAAAAAAAAAAAAAAAAAAGCTCTTCAAATATTTTAGTTCACTCTACTTTTTAGTTGATTTTTAGATATGACCCACTAAAGAACAATTCCAGTACTAGTCTATCAAAAAGTAAATTAAAAATTCAACAAAGAACAATAATTATGGAAAAATAAAGACCTTTCAATATATGTGATTGATATCATTTCCCATGAGATAGTTTATCAAAGAAAATAAAAAGACATCATTCTATGTATATACCATATGGTGAGTCTTATTCAAATGCTCGACGTTGATATTTCAATTTGGTTCAGTTATGTCGGTCGTTCTA